ACAACGTTGGTCGCATTCTCGACTATATTGAAAGAATCCTCAGCTTGATGCTCAATTAGTAGCATCGCCATCACCACCATGTGATCATAGTAAAATATTTGTCACGCCACGTAAATTCCCTTCCTCATATTCATCACAACATTATTCATCACGGGAAGCCACACTTAAATGTAATAATGCGGGCCAAATGTCAAGTGTTAGTGAACTTAAAAAACTTTTCTTTACAAAATGCCCATTTAAAAAACCCTAAAAGAGGTTACCAAGCCGCGTAAGCAAAACACACCTAACAAAACTCGTAAGCAACAAACCCCTAACACAACGCATTGAAGAAGTTGTAGCCTCGTTAAGTAGAGTCAAGAAAAAACAGTTGAAGAAATATATCAAAAGAATTCAATTGAACATGTTCTTGCTGAGACCCGACTCTTATGATTATTTATTTGAATCTTTAAAAGAAAATATGTGTTTTTAATTCTGAAATGCAAAGGCTTGTTTACAGGTAAATTTTTTTTTTGAAGTTTATAATGGTTTCAACACGTCTTACATAATATCTTAAGTATGTATTCTCATATCTTATATATCTTTTTTCTCATAGAGAAATTACCTACGTACCTGGATTATATAAAATAGTGGATGAAATCTTAGTTAACGCTGCTGACAACAAGGTACGTTTATTATAAACGTCTATTAGTTATCTTTAAGTTGTGTGTTGATTATTTAAAAAATTTTTCGTTAATGTCAGGTTCAAGACGATAAATGAACCTTATTAAAGTTTTTATTGACGAAGGACGTTAAATTTCCATCTCTAATAACGGAAAAAAAATCCCTATTGAAATTCACGGGGATGAAAAGTCTCGACTCATATTTTCGCATCTTCCAATTATGATGATGAGGAAAGAAAGTTTCCGGTGGTCGTAATGGTTTCGGTGCTAAATTAGCAAATATATTCAATACTGAGATCATTTTGGAAACAGTTTCAAATGGCAAAAAATATCTCCAAACTTTCAGAAACAATATGATCGTAATCGAACAACCAATTCTCACTACTTGTTCCGAAAATGCTTTAGGCCCGATTTACGATGACTCGGTTTGATGATGACATCATCTCCCTTTTAGCATACGATTTGGCGGGGTGTGTTAAGGCAGTTCAAAAGTTCTTGAATAATGAACAGTTAAACTTCAATAATTTTAAAGAATATATGCAATTGTATGTGAGTGATCGCGAAGACTTACAATCTTCATTAGTGTATGATAAATGTGATGATCGATGGGAAATTGGGGCCTTCCTTCTACTGATTCTCAATTCCATCATGTAAGTATTGTTCTTTTTTTTTCCTTGATCTTGCTTTAAACGGTTATGCAAAATTCGTATAATTCTAACATTATTTCGTCATTCTTCATTCAAAAATTATAGATAAGTTTAGTTAAGTAATATGTACTACGAAAGGAGGTACCCACGTTAATACATCGCAGATCAACTTGCTGAAAGAATCATAACAGCGGTCAAAAATAATAAGAACGCAAAAATAAAAAAGAACCACACCATAAATCATATGTGGATATTCATAAACTGTTCAATTGAAAACCCATCCTTCGATTCTCAGACGAAAGAAAATCTTATATTATAAGCCACATGATTTGGATCTACATTTGATCCAAGTGACGCCTTCTTTAATATACGTAAGTATTTGTACTATTCATAGCATATCACATAACTTTGTATTATATTTTAAATATATCTCACATGACCCTTTGATTTTTCTCCTTTATAATAGTTCTCAAATGTGGTATCATTGACCAAATTCTGGACGAAGTTGAAATAATGAATTAAAGAAGACAGACGGAAAAAAGAGCAAGAAGTAAGTAAAT